CGCGTTGAGCATTCACGGCGCATCCGCAACCTGTTCCTTATCCTTCCTGGGCGGCGCGCAGCGGCGCTGCTCCCGCCACTTGTCACCGCCGAGCTTTCCCAAAAGCGAACACACACTTCGACGAGCGGGCCTCTAGGCCAGCTGCCGCAGTCCAGTTGCTGACGCGCAAGGACGGCCACAAACAGAGGAAATCACCGTTAAACATATTTTTCCACATTATTCATCATTTTAAAAATGTAACAATTAAAGTGTTTTTAAAATTAAATGTTAGCACCCAATTTAAGTTCAAACTATATCTAGCATGAAAAGTAAGGAAAATATTTCTAGAAGTTTTACTGTCAAGCTAAACCACATTTCACACACTGATAGTAAGGTGTAAATTAATTTTTTCTTGACACGAATAGTGTTTTTGAAATGTTTCCTTTTGTTAAAAAACAAATGCCCGTCTTAAATTTTCCTAAGTTAGCCTTTGCACACGCGCAACGTTTTCAATTCATTTTCCTTAAACATCCCACAGATTTGACCACTTCATTAAGGGCTATTCAGTTCGCCTCACCGCTTACAGAAACAATTTTGTGAGCTTTTCGTTATCATCATTATATGTAATCGTACAAGTCTTGTTAATGCATAATACTATAGAATTCGTTGTGTAAAGTACTAAATCGGAAAGTCACCCACGAAACCAGGTTTGGCCCTTTCATTTATTTAACATAATTTTCGTTCCTTCATTGCATGTGCAATATCCTTTTCCTAGACCAAGAATCAGAGTTAATGATGCGATAACTAATTCCTATATTACGCACTTACGCACATAATTCATAACCTGTGGTTATGATATGTTTGGTTGAATAATTTGTAAATAGCTCAAACATACTCGTCGGCTAAGGCAATCTTAGCAGGAAGAATAAAAATACAGTTCCTTGAAATAACTTTTTATCTGGCTTCAGAAATGCAGCACCCTGATGCCGGGGTATCTGGGAGGTTCTTGACTGTTTGCTAATAGTATACATCTTAGTTTATATTCGATAGTATACGAGGTGAAGTCTTTCATCTCCTGCTTCGTATCTTATCTTTCTTGCTTTGAACTATATGGCCGAGAGGGCCATAAAAGCGAGCGGAAGCCGAAGAGTCCATTCTTTCGTTAGAGCCTCAGCCTTCGATCTCGTGTAGGGGGTCTGCTGTTCTGTTATTTCTCTGCTAAATGAGTGCTTCAGAGCTTTAATGGGTTCGTTCGATGACATTTTGTTTTGATGTTCTCTGAGAGTAAATAGTTGGGTTCATTTACACTATTTTGTACAACTCTTTGCAAAAACACCTTGCTTTCGTAGTTAATACACTGCTTGTTTACCTAACATTTCCTTTGAATTGTTTTTTTTCAATACTAGTAGTTCCCATCATTTAGATACTACATTTAAATGATAGAATATTTCGAGCCGGACCACTGAAGTAATTATATAAAATTCTGAATACGACACCTAGAACCTAAGAGTAGTTTTTCCTACAACCCAAGCTATTAAAGCATGCGCACTTCGTAGCCCTGACATGGGCAGAACTGTTACGCGTATTTTAAGTTTGGCGCCACCAGAAGAGTGTTGTCATCCATATCACACATTTCTATATCGTCCATCAGGAACAACGACGATGATATAACTGAAAAAATTGTTTAAAAATGGATTTAAGTGGATCGGTTAACTCAGAAAAGCGACGAGATTGGGGAAACATCGACGTTGTTGAACTTACGCTTCAAAGGCCAGACAGTGACGCATCTCTTTATATAAAGGAGTGGAATAGCACTTTCTGAGATCTAAATTCGCGCAACAACGATAATGTGAAATCATATTTGTTATTTGTGTCATTGCTTACTTGAGGTATACTATTTACTGATGTAAATGTTCTTTAAGGCATAGTCGCACGATTATTCTGATCAATTCCGATGTCTTATTGTACTGGTTTTAATAACCACGGCGATAGTAATGTAAAATAGAGTAAATAAATGTAGAAAAGTAAATGTTATGTTACTGACAATGTAAACAGTACATCATAGAAAACATTTTTACGCAGGTTGATTGTTCTACAGAAATTGAGTGCAGAAGAGTTGTGATTACAAAATTGCTGTTCTGTAATCTTCTCCTTCGGTAAAACTGTGGTTCTATATTTACGTCGCTATTCGTTTGAGATAGACGATATGATATATGTATAACCTGCATCCCCGCAATTGTATCGTAAAATTTGAACAACTCGAGCACGTTAGATTTTTTCACGTTTTTATTTATGGTTTAAAGATATGCAAGCAAAAGATTTTTCGGTTAGAACATAAGCAATAAAAAGTTAAAAACCGACCAACTTGCTATGAACGTTCTATGCTCGTTCTATTGAAACCACATCTCGCGGTACAGTTCGGTATTGATGTGACTCGCAATTCGGTTTCGCAGTTTTATTTAGGGGAATTGGATAGTCATAGAAATTGAATTTGCTAAGTACAGCAACAGTTTTCCTAAATCGATTGTCTGAAGGCTCTCTTGATTTTATGTCACGGCTGGGCACATACAATAATATCACAATTCTTGCATGGTGGTCACATTTAACCTTTTAGGTAGCTTTGAAATCCTTTTAAATCAACTACAATTAGGTTATAGGCTAATTTGAGTAAAGCATTTTTTCACAAACTGCGACTACCGGTTACTCGCAGTATTTTGGGTAACTCAAACGAGAGAGAAGGCTCTTATACAAAGGTAATCAGTTAAATGCTGGGCCCTTGTGATGGCATTGAAGGTGGACCTTGTCCAGGAAAAAACCTCAGTGGCTCATTGCTTTTTGCTATGTTATTGTCTCGATATCAGACTGAAATTGATTTACAGCAATCTGAAAACCGATAATCCTCGTCCACGCAACAGTTTACATCGACCGAGCATTTTAGCTGTTGGCGAACCTTCGCCAACGGAGGGTAAACAATCTTTATTTCTCAACTGCAATAGCAATAACACTAATAATAAATATTATTAGTAATGTAAAAATATAACAAGTACAATACAGCTCAATGCTTTAATTTAAAAGAAAATTACTACAAAAAAAGAATAAAACGTAAGGTTCTTCGCAGATAATTTGAAAATGAAATCCACAAGGCGCTTTCACACACAGCTACCGTCCGTGACCAGGTTTGAGAGCAATGTGGCCGCAACATCAGCTCATGACCGACGCCGAGCGCACCGCGAGCACGAGGCGGGTGACAAGAGCGCATTCCCACGAAGCGCCGGCCGCGGAGAGCAAACACACGTAGTATTTATGTCTACTTACCCCTGGGGTGTTTGCCTGCGGCCCGTAGGGATATCTGGTCCATTCTAGAGTGGGCTCCTGTGTCGTATCCAGCAGCACAACTGAAAGGAAATAAACAGCGTAAGTTACATCAGTGCACAACAGAGGACCTTACGCTCGCGTGCAAGGACGGCGGGAGGGGTTTGCTTTTCTCGGCAAAATAGAGAGTGTTCGAAAATAAAGACCCAAGTAAACTATGGGAAAGCGCGCCACGTCCTCTTCCAACAGCAGCCCGCGGGTAGTGCCCGCAAGCCGCAAGGCACAGTAGGCGACGATTCTTCGTCTCTTTTAACTTCGCGACCCGGCAGCGGTATCGAACGAGAAATCCAACTGTCTCCCTCTATAGAGAAAAATATTTATGGAAATATTAACAGAAAGCCTAATGTAATAAAATGGATGTTAATGCCATTGAGAACTCTCGTTGATTTTTGGAAATATTATTTTAAAAAAACATGTTCTATTATTCAAAAATGATATTACAAAACTACGCCATCCCACAAAAATGGAAAGAATCATACATATTAGTTCGAACTATATCTGTTGTGAAAAGGAGTAAATGTAAACATGATATTTTATGAATGCAAGATGTGCTGATCAATAGGCGCAGTAATCAAACAAATACTTATTAACAAAATCTGGCACTAGTACATGCGGGTCTGAAACACAAGTAAAACGATCAGGATACCAGGAGTGATTGGAGGGAAGCGTAATTCAAGCGCTGGCGAGGGTGCGCGGCCCACGAGCAAAAATCGGGCCGCCTCCCCGCCCCCTGCCCCCGCGCGCACCAGGCAACCCGTCAGCCTCGCCTCCGCCCCCGTCCCCTCCCTCCCGGACGACACACCATTCGCTTCCTTATTTACATTTAAATGTGTTTAATGCAAATGAATGGCCCGGCCATCCGCTCTGTGTTATTCTCACATCATAACACATCACACAACAAGCCGACAAATTAGTCGATACACTTACATACGCTCGGGCTTGTTTTCTAAAATTATCTCGCGTATTATGATGTACGAATAACCAGGCAAAAATACTCTTCATAGTGTGGTAGGCCCACGGGAAGGAGGCGTTAAGCGCCTCGCCCACCGAGAACCCAACTCCACAGACGCAGCACGTTCGGCTGCATGTAGACATCTGGCGTGTCTTCGCCTGCTCGAGCGTATTATATCGCAGTCATCGCTCGCCGAATCGTCTTTAACACCGGACAAGCAATAAATCCAGTAACACAAAAAGACGTGGAAATATTCGCGCGGCGCCGCTGATGGAACGAACCGCGAGTCAATTCAATACAAAGCTGGCGATTACGAGCCCTATCGGGCGCGTCCATCTGCAAACGTCGATGCGCCACTTACGCGGCCGCCCGCACCGCCCAGTGATAACGCCGATTTGCCACTTATCGCGATGAGGGCGGGAGACGGAGGCGGAGGCGGCAGCGGAAATTCGACCGTTGCGTCGGTTTTCTGGCAGCACCGACGCACGCGCGCGGCCGCCGGGATGCGGCCAGTCAGCATCGCCTTAAGGAGAGGTTCAAAACGATTCTGTATCATCTCGTTGAGCTGCTCATTTTTTCTCTAGGAAATATTAAAACATAATTTTGCATACCTTTGGAAACCAGAAGATTTTTGAAACTAAAAGAACAGAAAATACGTGAGATCAAGGGTAGGATATTTCCAGGAGTGGTTTGATAACATTGACATCACATAGTTCTAATATCTCATTCATCTTTTCAAAGCACTGTAATAATGCCTTTTTAATACGAAGTAATATTAGAATTATAAGTAGACACGAAAGCATTTTCACTCTGTCGCTGTCTGTCTCTTTCAGTCAGTCAGTCTGCCTGTTTGTCTGTCTCTTTCAGTCAGTCAGTCTGCCTGTT